TCTACAAAGTAGATTCTTATACACATTTGATAATCAAATTATTTATGTAATAAAAAACACAAATATATATTTACCTGTAAGCTGTAGGTTGTAGAGCTACTTTGTGAATGGTCAAGTTGTGAATGTTGTTTTGCACGCGAGAGTCCTTGGTTTGTTTCTTGAATGAATGTATTTTACTAGCCTTGCTTAATCCATTAGCGAACTTATATATTGCTGCATTTCAATGTTTTAAATTCTAAATGTTTTTAAGCAGTTTCACTGAGAAGACGTAACATTCTTTACTGTTTACCTGTTACTTTCTTTTAAGTGCCATTTATGCTAAATCATGAAGGAAAATGCCTCACCGAGTGTGTAACAAGTCTGTGCAGTGAATGCTTCATATTTTGTTAAGTGTACTAACAGATGCAGAGGATCATCTTTTTTACATCTTTGTGTTCATGTTACAGTGCCTAATAATTCTAAATGCCTTAGTGTATCTGCAGAGGTTTATGGTACCTGGTTTTTCTAAAGCTTTCAGGTTGCCTTTGTTCCTTTCTGTGCTTGGTCCTGCATAGCTCTGTGTTGATAAGTCTTTGTATGAGTTCAAATGACAATAAAAAGGAATAAAACACATGGAAAGATAAAATTCTTTAATTCTGTCTGTGGTTCCAGTTACCAATCAGGTCGGGAATGCGTGGAATGAGTCTTGACCACATACACGCCAAGTCAAGACTCGTGCTTTTAACTATTGAACGTCTAGCCCAGGATCATATGACATCCTAATCCACAGAAACTGAAAAGAAATACCATGTGGTTAAATTTTATTCACAGATTTTCTTCATCTCTGTGATTTTAGTTCCAACATAGCCCTGGAAAGATAAAATTCTCTCCAGCTTTATGTTAATCAGAAAAGTAGATATTGCAGGAACCAATGTGTTGACTTTAGTCACTATTTGTCTACATTTCCTAAGGCAAAGTTGTTTTGTTTGCTTTTTTTAAACTAAGAAGCAGAACAAAACAAAGATTACACTTTTTCCCCATTTATTACAATAACTCTGTTTTTCATGTTGGAAAGTAATAAAAAGGTTAAAATTATACTTATACAATGCTTTTCTAAAGCTGTTCCTTTATGCTTCAAATGACAAAAAACAGGCTAAAGATCTGACTCACACATAGCTGTATTTTATTGAGGAACGTCTCAGTTATTTAATGGCTTTATGGTTGTCTTCTGTATTTGGTTTTGTGTTGATTGGGTGGATTTTATAGTTTGACGTATTTCCTATTGGTGAGGAACTGTAAAGATTGCAATTGGGATACCTATAAACGTAGCCACTGTTATAATATAGTAGATAAATAGTTTGGGAATTTAGACAGAACAAACACAGCAGGCCTTCAGATAGGCGGCTAATACAGGTGGGAGAATGACGTTTTATTTACTTATTCCTACTTGAAAAAAGCCCTGGGCCCTATTTCAGGAAGCCGGTTTAGTGCAAACTTTGAGTAAGTATACCCTGAGTTAACGAAAACTCTGGGTTTTCGGTTTCACAAAGCGAGTTTAGATTAATCCTGAGTGAGTTACTATGACGACACACTCCGTGAAGCTAACCTGCCCCCTAGCAGGTTTACTTCAACTAACCCTGACTTTCTCCGCCTCTTTGTCGGAAACCTGACTGTAGGAAGTGTCAGACATGGCGTGCTCCTTCCTTGAAGAGCCAGTAGATGTTGAAGCCCAAATTCTCCGCAGAGCTCTCCGCCGGGAGAGAGTGATTAGAGCGCGTTCGGACATTTTATCATTTCCTGATGATTTCCTGTGTGAACGTTACAGCACAATCTATAATTTATTTGAATAACACCCTCAGGCCTAATATTGCTCATGTGACACATCGCGGACATTCTCTCAGTTCTGTACATATTATTTGTATTGCACTTCGGTTTTTTGCAAACGGGAGCTTTCTGTATAATATTGGTGACGCTGAGCACGTTTCCAAGGCTACCGTCTGTCGGGCAGTCAGGAATGTTACAGTTGCACTGAAACGTCTCCTGTACTCGTTTGTGGTGTTCCCCGGTCATAGACCCACAAGATTCATCAAAGAGGGATGCCACAAAATTGCAGGTATCAGGATGAACAAAACTTAATTCATGATGTGGTGATATTTGAACTACTACTTAAATTTTACATTTATTCTCACGGTTCCCAGGCGTGATTGGCTGTATAGATGGCACTCACATTCCAATCATTGCTCCTTCAGTAAATGAAGGAGACTATGTGAACAGGAAGTCTTTCCACAGCATTAATGTGCAGGTACATAGTTCCCTGTAGCATTTCAAACTAACAAATTATTTCATTATAGTAATGGATGCTAATTTGTGTTCTCTGCACTGTGAAGATCATATGTGATGCTGCCAACATTATCACAAATGTGGAAGCCAACTGCTCAGCCTCTGTGAGTGGTGGTGGTGGACGACCTCCACCTGTTTTTCGGGCCTCCGCTTTTTTTTCTATTGGCTATAACGGGTCACATTTGAGCACACAGAGTAAGCAAATATGTACTTGTAATGTGCTCAGATAATTTCAATAAGTGCTTACAGAGGGGAAATTAATGTAGCCTCTAACTGCAATTGGTTTACAAACAGACCAAGCACTATGGCTCATAATACAATTACACCTTACCTGTTTGGACTATATTTTTATATTTCATTTTTACTTGCTGCCAGGAACGTTTGGGGCCTGTTGGGTTGCACCTGCGCTCACATCACATCACAAAATAAAATGTATGAAATAAAAAATAAAATAAAATGTAATAAAATAACGTGTTAAATGGGTGGAAATCCCTAGATCAATGTTTAAATTAACACTCACGCATTGACTCTGTCGGCTATGTTTTGCCATGCATGCTCCCTTTCTTTTGCAGCTGTGGCTGTGTTACTTTTTTTCCGCGGAATTTGCATGTTATCGGCATATGCTGCCATCAGAATTTCGGCCTCAATCAGAATCAGAATCAGAATCAGAATACTTTATTGATCCCTGGGGGAAATTATTTTTTGTTACAGTGCTCCATTTTAAACCAACATTAAGACAAGACAGACAATACGCTAACTAAGAATAGTACAATATATACATATATATACATACATACATACATAAGTCACTTATAAATAAATATTTGGAAAAGAAACATGTGTAGTTGTAGCAGCAAACAGTGTGTTAAGTGGATGCGTTGTACAGGGAGATGGCCACAGGCAGGAATGATTTCCTGTGTCATTCAGTGGTGCTTTTCGGTAATCTCAGTCTCTCACTGAACGTGCTCCTGTGACTGACCAACATGTCATGGAGTGGGTGGGAGGTGTTATCCAACATTGTCTTTATCTTGGACAGCATCCGCCTCTCCGACACCACCTTGAGGGAGTCCAGCTCCATCCCCACAACATTGCTGGCCTTACGGATCAGTTTATTAAGTCTGTTGGCATCTGCGACCCTCAGCCTGCTCCCCCAGCATGCAACAGCATAGAGGATCGCACTGGCCACCACAGACTCATAGAAAATCCTCAGCATTTTCTGGCAGATGTTGAAGGACCTCAGTCGCCTCAAAAAATAGAGACGACTCTGGCCCTTCCTGTAAAGTGCTGTGGTGTTTTTAGCCCAGTCCAGTTTATTGTCAATGTGTACTCCAAGGTATTTATAGTCCTCCACAATGTCAACACTGACCCCCTGGATTGAAACAGGGGTCAAGTGTTTCCTGGTCTTCCTGAAGTCCACGATCAGTTCCTTGGTCTTTGCCACGTTGAGCTGCAGATGATTCTGCTCACACCACGTGACAAAGGAGTCGACCACAGCCCGGTACTCTGTCTCATCATCCCTGCTGATGCATCCAACCACCGCAGAGTCATCAGAAAACTTCTGAAGATGGCAGGTCTCTGTGCAGTGGCTGAAGTCTGTGGTGTAGAGGGTGAAGAGGAAGGGGGAGAGGACAGTCCCCTGTGGTGCCCCTGTGTTGCTAATCACCTTGTCAGACACACACTGTGGGAGACGTACATATTGTGGTCTTCCTGTCAGGTAATCAACAATCCAGGACACCAGAGAAGCATCCACCTGCATCGCTGCTAACTTATCACCCAGGAGGGTCGGCCTGATGGTGTTGAAAGCACTGGAAAAGTCAAAAAACATGACCCTCACAGTGCTCGCCGGCTGGTCCAGATGGGTGTAGACACGATTGAGCAGGTAGATGATGGCGTCCTCTGTTCCGAGACGAGGCTGATAAGCAAACTGAAGGGGATCCAGATGTGGTCTTACTATGGGTCGCAGCTGGTCCAGGATGAGCCTTTCCAGGGTCTTCATGATGTGGGAGGTCAGTGCCACGGGCCTGTAATCCTGGGGGCCACTGGGACGAGGCGTCTTTGGTACAGGGACGAGGCATGATGTCTTCCACATCACCGGGACCCTCTGCAGACTCAGACTCAGCATAAACAGTTTATGAAAGACTCCACACAGCTGGGGGGCACAGGCCTTGAGGACAAGGGGACTCACTCCGTCTGGTCCAGCAGACTTGCCTGAGTGAAGTCTCCTCATTTGCATCTCAACCTGGTATTGAGTGAAGGTGATGGGTGGGGGAGGGGTGTCAGGAATCTCACAGGAGGCAACATGTGAAGAGAGAGGCTGGCACAGTGGTGTGGCTCAAGCGCTGTAAAATACATTGACCGCGCCTTCTTTCCCTCCGTCTCCATGGTGACTCGCTTAATCTGTGCTCCACTAATCAGGGCTTTATGTATCCTCGTGTGCGCGTTTAACTTGGGGTTAAAGCAACTCCGCGTTGACTGAACTAATTGTTATCAGCCTTTCTGAAACCGAATATTCCGAGTTGGACAGTTCGGGGTTACTCAACCCTGAGTATCGTTTTTCACTCTGAGTTTTCTAAACCGGCTTCCTGAAATAGGGCCCTGTTCTTCAAATTAAAAGTCACCAGCAGTGAAAGAAGAAAAAGAAAAGTTTTTTCGGGGACAAACGGTGTTATTTAAATGGGCCAACATCGTCCCCTGTTGGCCAGGCTGCGAGTTGGTAAGCAAGTCGTTGCTAGGTGGATCAAAGCAGTCTCTGATTGGCTTTTGCCTTCAAACTTAGCCAATCAGCGTTACGTTTGGAGCACGGTTCCTTCTTGTTGTGAAGCGTCTAGATACAAGGAAACTGCAAGCAGCCATCCTTGTTGAATTTAGTTAGCTTACACATTTTCCTTTCTCGGCGAATTATAATTTCTGATTTAATTGTAAAACTGTTTTATTGAAAGAATACTTCGCAAAAGCATTAAATAACATTAACCTATATAGTAGACGGCAACTGTAAAACGTATTTCCAGTATGTTAAGATTTAGCTTTAGGAGGGAGAAAGACAAGGAGTTTGTAAGTTTCCATTCTTTTATGATAGATATTAACCTTTTGTAGTTTGTCTTATTATTTTTGTGTTTTTTAAGGCTTTACTTATGGTTAATTAATAATAGTAGGAGTTCTTTGTTTTCAAAAATACTGCCGCTAACTCTTGGTAATGAGTATTTAATTGGTGGTATTGCCTATTTTTTAAGCTAGAGTTTGTATAAATGGTGAATTGAGGGTTTTTTGTGCACTAGCGATTGCTCTAGCATTACTTAGTAAAATTTGAGGATAAATATTGGTGCTGTTGTGCCTTCATTACGCTCATCACTGGTCGTCAGGTGGTCATACTGTGATTCTGTAATAAATCCCTTTACCCTTCCCCTGCTGTTCACCCTGCACAACATCTGTGTTGTTTTGTTTTTGTTTGTCCCCCCCCCTCAATTTGGTGTCATCTTATATAAACCCTCCTGAAGCGTTGTGTCTGTATGTCCCTCTAACTCTTCTCTCTGTGTTGCGTAGAAGCATATAGCTCATGGTTTGATCCCTGCTGCCTCCATTGCTCCCAAACCAGCCGTACCTCGTACCCCTCCCCCTCGCAGCCCAAACCCTTCACCTGAGAGACCCAGGTACCTAACACTTTCTGTTTATCGCCCATAACCTCCAACAGCCTTTCATGTTTCATGTTTCTACTAAACTGTCATTTAATCCACACTTTCATGTTTGCTATGAGCTTGTTAGAGGCTGTTTATCGAAATGTTGATTATTTCCACCGTATTTGAGGTTATGTTCTGTCCTTCCGCAAGCTGGGCTTTATTTGTTTTTCTATCTGTTATTACAAAGAACGTTAACAAGCAAAATATCATGAGACTTTGTGTAGCAATAGATCATGTGTAAAGAAAAAAACATTAAATTTTAGTGCAGGTCCAAGTCATTTTAATTAAATTGAAAACTAGAGCACTGGCTTTGGTTAATGATCTGCTCTGCTTGTGCCGTTGTTGTTGTCATAAATGATGCATTTATTGATAATTGTCATCATCCAAACTCTATAAATAAAGTCAAAAATTGTAGAGTGACTTCAAATTTTCATGCGATGCTTTCCATGCATTTCATTTACTTTTCTGTTACACATAGTGTCTCATAAAGTATGTGTTTCTATCTACAGGTCAGCTTTAGCAGCAGCCATTTTATCATCCTCACTCACTGGACAGACATGGGCCATACCTCCTGCCCGGCTGATGTCTTTATCCGAGAGTGGTCAATCAGAATCCTTCACATCTGAGCCAAACATCAGCACAGCACTTTACACAAGGTAGCCATCATATGGGAAAGGCAACAGTATTATGTCAAGATTTGTGTCATCACCAGTGTGTCAGAAAAATAAAATTCATTTTCTCTGGCAGGAGTTTTAAGAGAAAAAAACTGTTCATAAAAGTGGCTGTATTAGTTTGTGCCTCTACTAAGATACATCTAATTGTCTTCTGCTGTTATCTTACATGCTTAACTTCCTCAGAGACAGATGGTCAGAAGATTTGGTTAGCCGGCCACGTCTGTCCTCTCCTGACCAGTCAGAGGGGGAGTTGGAAGACAAGGAACAGGAAGTGGTGGATGAAGAGGATGGGGAGGAACATGTCTACCACACTCTGGACCGAAGGCAGAATTCTTCACTCACCGAATCTGTCTATGCTCTGCCACTAAAAACTAAGGTGAGGAGCTGCAGAAAGAGCTTGTATTATGTGCATGAAGGTTTCTCAGTAGATTGTTCCATGCTTCTAATACAGATCGCATAAAATACCTGTAAGAGGTGATTAGTGGTTATAAGACTAGAGGCTAAATGGGTGGCTGTGTATTTATTAGGTGTAACCCTAATAGTGGCATGTGTTACATTTAGGTGAGGCAGTTCCAGGTGTCTCTTCCAGAAGACAAGAACTCTCAGAATAACTTTAATCTTGATTCATCCTAAAATGGGAAACTTCTCGGTTCCAGAGCATCTAATCAGAATAAGTTCAGCCACCGCTGAGAATATTTGCAGAGCTAAATATGTCTGTGTAATAAAAAAAAAAGCCATCATCAGATGTCATGATTCACTATGGCAACAGGTTAAATAGAGCAGAGCCTCCATTTTAACGCAGAGTAGTTATGAATATGTGTGCCAATGCAAAATATGACATTTATCTTTAAATGGTGAGTGATGAAAGAAATAAGTAAGCTTTATTTTTATTTATTATTTTGGTTATTTTGTTGATTACTCATTCATATTTTTCTAAAGATGATCAAACTAAAATCCAGCCGATATCTCTACATATATTACAATAATTATTTCGATATATTTATTCATCAGTTATCTGACGTCTGTCTTAATCTGTAACAGCTGAATAAGAGTTCTTAGATTGGATTTATTTATTTATTTTTTACATGCAAATTTTGCCCAATTTTCCCAGCTCTGTAATTTGGAAATGTTTAAATATTTCAACATTAAGTGTTGTCAAAACACATTTAAACAATCTTCAAAATGTATCCAAAACCTCACTTTAAACTCCATTTAGTTCACCTTCAGGATCACTACAGTCATTCTCACTGAGACATTTATAAATCTCCAACATGATGCCAATTATGACAGCAATTTTCAGTCTTGGCTGGTCACCATGTAACAGTTGACTGGTAATTACTTATTATTTTGTGCATCTAAAGGGTCAGCCCATGAGGTTTATTTAATGGGAGGTTGGAGTGTTGGCATGTATTTAATGAGTGTTACTACTCCTAAATAGGTTTTCCTTGAGTCTGTGGTATTTTGGTATTGTAATCCCAGTCTGATCCAGTAGGAGGCACAGTTGTACTCAGAATCGATACTTTGTTTCTTTTTAATGCTGTGCTATGGTTGTCACTAAAACTATCAGCTGTGATTCAGCTCAGTAGCCATATATACGGACTTGGCTTATAGCATCTGCAGATATCCTTTCAGTTTTTCTTAGTAAATGTTGGTGGTTTTTTTGTTTTTGTTTCCTTCTATCAAACAGTTTTCTCTGTTGTACATTTGGCATTTAATTTATGTATCTACATGGTTAAATCCTGAATCCCCCCTTTTTTCTCCACTACAAAATGTTACCGTGTTTGTCTGTGGTGCTCTTACAATCCAGGTGGTGAGTTCTTGCACTTCTGCAAATTGCCTGAAAATTGCCTTAAAAAGCTGTTATTGTGATTTATGGTAGTCACTGATCACAGTACATTAGTAATGGGAAGTTTTTCACAGTCTTGGTTTATCTGCACACAGTTAATTCTATTCTGTGGTGTACAGTTTATCTGTAAAATTGCCTTGTGAGTTCTCTTCTTAATTCGGTCCGTGGCACTATGCCAAATGTCTCCTTTTATAGATCCCTGAGAAAATGTTATATTATGTTGTTGTTCTTCTACTTGGATAGCTAACCTGTAAAGGTCCCAATGGTCTCTCCCTGTCAACTATCTTTCCAGGCTATGGCAGTGTCTGAATCTCTCAGTTATGACAGCCACAAGTCAAAGTGATATAGGACATCATGGATCTATTGTGTCATAATCTAAGGCCAACAGACCTAGTATGGTGACTCATATGATATAGTAGTTTTACACAATGGTGTACCACCTCTAGGTCCAAAAAAACATCAGCCCGAACCCACATAAATCTACAGGATGGTCTTCACTTTCTGCTTTTTTTATGACTCAGGGTGAGAGTAAAGGTCACTGTGAGGACATTGTGCTTGTTTCTAAATATAGAAATGCAGTATATTTTTTTCCATCAACAATTGTGGAATTTATTGAATTTTTATCATGGTTGAGGTGTTAAAAATAAATTGTCTTCCAATTTTTCCTCATAATTCTGTTTCAGCTATATGTCTTCTCTACACTGAACTGACAAATGTAATTCATTCATGTTGTTTTGTAGGCTCTTTCAAACGGTACAATTTAATAAATACACTGATAAGATATTATCGGATACGTTTTGGCAAAGACCATAAATAAACTCCTCCAGGCTGCAGGGATTTATATATTTGTTTGAAAAGACTTACTATACTGACTCCCTCTTTATTTATTTTGACAGTCTGTCTTCAAGTCCTCTACACCCCTGCCAACTCAGACTTCTGGCAGAAGAGAGTCTTCACCAGGTACTGATTTTACAATAATGACAGATGGGTTAACATATTTCATAAGGAGAAGAACATCGTAGTAGTAGTAATAATGATAATGATAATACGAAGGACAATGCTCATGAAAGAATTGATCTGTGGTAAAAATTGACCTATGTATTTAAAATATGGCCTGTATATTGTAGAGCCCACTGAAAAAGATCAGAAATCAGCACTGATTTCCAGTTAGCTTTCTTCTAGTACATTTTCACACATCCAACACATAAATGCTTGAAAATAAAACTGTGTGTATTTTTATAAACAGATTTTTGTATATAGGTAGCAAATAGCAAACGCACATGCCCACAAATTTCAAACATTTTAGCTGATATAAAACAGCTGGTTGTGATCACTGATGTGAAAGACAGGTGGTAACATTGACAGTAATAGGTCTATCGAGTAATTGGAATGACTCTAATTATGAACAGCAAATCTGAAAATCTCTCCAACAACATGTAACTAAACATAAAGTTCTGTTATTGCTTTTGTGTATTGTTGGTGCTCTTCCAAAACAACGTGTAATAGAAATTCAAGACTATTGGCTTTTGGAGTCTTTTCTATGAAAAGCACTAGTAAAACAATTAAAGCCATGCAACCTGATATTAAAATCTTCTCCATCACATAGCCAAATTACCGGTACACCACACTCTTGACTCTATGTTAGAAAAGTACAGCTCTTATTCAACTGACATTTAGTTTCATAACAGCCATAAGGTAACCTCATATCATTAGAGCTAAATGGAAAGCCTCGTTAGAATTGTTATTAGCAGTGCTACCCTCAGGCTTTTGGTGGTGGTAAATTAAACTGTTCTGTCTGTTCCTAAAATGCTCCTACCTTAATAACTAAAGTGCAGACATAATATCTGTCTGATTCGCAAGGTAACACTTTCAGGCTTTGCAGAAATTACATTTTTACATAACCATTAGCTGATTGTGGTAAAAAGGGATTTTACTATAATAAAACCCTTAGAAATCAGCGCTCCTCTCGGTTTTGAATTCATTCAATGAATTTGTTCACATCACACAGATTTCACTGAGGAGACCAGTGGCCAATCCCCAGAACCCAAAGAGAAGAAAATGTCTGTGAGGAAGACTCTTGAAAATTGGAAAGATGATGTTCCAAGTAGGTGTAAATACTAAAGTAGCCTGTGTGTGTCTGCTTGGCATTTTTACATATAGATTTTTAATTTAAAAATTAATAAATGTATGTATATTAAGCATTAAAGGGTCACCCCACTGTTTGCCTTTCTCTTCATGTCCTGTAATCTACCCAATAAAGGGTGAAGGCATTCCAATATCTGTAAGTTAACATGTTAATGTTAATATTAACTGTAAAAAAAATATCAGAGTAAAAACAAACCATTCAATTGGTCAGGTGAAATAAACATGTTAACAATGAAATATTTTAAGTTGCATGCATTTTATGTATGTATATTTAACATAGTATTGTAGATAATGTTCTATAATGATATTTGTGGTCATCAGTGCACATTGTGTTCTGATAAATGGCTTTAGCAGAACTCGATGTGAAATGCAACATGCCATGTAAAAGTACTATTTCTTCTCTACATCATTCTCTCCATGACATTGCTGTTTTGTTGTTTTTTTTATTCATGTAACAAGAGTTCCCACCTCAAATGAGAAATGTATTTTGAAATGGTTATAGCAGGCTGCCTGCTGCCTAGATGCCTAGATATGTTACTAGATAAATGATAGTAACATAACTCATATAGTTATGTTACAGTTTTAGGATTTTTTTCTGTTTGTGTCCATGTTTTCTATCTCTGCTGTAACAAAAAGCAGCACTAAATTTGTATTTTCAATACAGTACATACTTTCTGTTCATTTATACATTTTATTCTATTTTTGAAAAGTATTTTTGTTGCCTGTTTCAGCAACACCGACCATTTTCACTGCTGGTCACCCCAGGCAAGCAAGCCAAGCCAAAAGCCCCAAAGACCTCCGTGAGCTTCCTCCAGAACCCAGCAATACATACAGTGAACTGCGGAAGAAGGTAGTGAGGGACCGTCGGGAAAAGAACACAAGGATGGTAGACAAAGAAAAGCTACTAGAGGAGAGACTGCAGCGCCTGGAACGGGAGATTAGTGACAGCAAAGCCTTCTCAAACCAGAGGTCCTCTGCAGGTAGAGTAGAGGAACCGCTGGAGAGATACTGTACAGAGGAACAATGTGGAGAAATTGAATGAAGGGAAGTAGGGAAAGTATATAGAAGTAACAGTGGAAGTAAAACAGATGCAAATGAGGCAGAAAGGAAAAGTAAGCAGAGAGTTACAGCGGATGGAGGAATTTACAAGTGTCAAAAGAGGGAGCTGGAGATAGTGCTAAGGGTAGAAATGGCACTGATCGTTGGACTCCACAGCATGTCCTCAGCATGAAGAGAAGAAGAGGGAGTAATGAAAAGAAACATGAAAGCACTTTGCTGATCTTTAGGCAGACCACATGTACTGTAGAGTCAAAACCCATGTTGAGGAATGACCTGAATGGGCTGTGTTGCATTGTAGTGTTGCATAGTTGCACACTCCTGAAAGATACTAATTATTGTCCTGATTTTGTAAAAATCACAAGCCCTCACATTTCACATTTTTTGCTTTAATTCAATGCTTTGGCATGTGGAAACTGGCTTAAAACTACTTATTAATCTGGAAAATTATTTGTAACCTGATATGCTTTGTTTGCAGGCAGCCAAGCAGAGCTGCAGAATTTGAGGCAACATGCTCAGGAGCTGGTTGATGAAAACGATGCCCTCAAACTGACAGTTCACCGTCTGAATGTGGAGCTGAGCCACTACCAGGCGCGGTTCAGACCACTGTCCAAAGAAGAGGTATAACAAGCTCAAGACATGAATATGACAAGAGACTACTTCAGTGAAGGATAAGGGGCTAATTGAGAATTAATGAACTATAGGTATTTCTAAAAAAAAAATATATATGGGTCAGTTTAAACTTTTCATGAATAAGATGCAATGCAACCTCAGGGTTTGCTTGAAAGAAATTTGAGAAATTGTATTGTGAATATTACCAATCAGCTCAGTTACGAACAGCTGTTCCTATTAGGGAGTTGTACAGAGAAAAAAATTCAGTCTGTCTCACTCCTACCTTACCAAATTTAACTTAAATCAGGTATATGTGTTTGTTGGGTCTGTGTTTCCACAAGCCCCGCTGGTTTAGAGACTTATTCATCATGAAGAAAACAAGACAGTCAGCGATCGATCGATTTACTTTCAAGGGAGGCCTCATTGTTATCTGCCACAAAATGACCCCTTTTATTGGGAAAACAGTTCATATAATACACATCACAGCAAAAGCACCACCCACGTAAAACCCCCAAATGGTTACAACGACAAGGCACTATGCGTGTGTATGTGTAAACATCTGTATGCATGTGAGAATGTGTGTGTGTGTGTGGCCTCCTGCTGACCAAAAGGGTCATAAAAGCAGGAAGCAACATCACAAGAAACAGATCTTCCAGATAGGATGTATCTGCAAAAAAACACTACATCCCCCCCAGAACCTCGAGAGGTTGGGGAGGGGGATAAAAGAATTCCTTTCTTAACAGAGTTAAAACAATGTAGAGATGGTAAGCATAAAAATGACAACATTAACAATTCACTCTAACAGTGTTCTCCTGTATTATCTTCATTTACTCTTAGACTTATTTTCTTAGATTCTGTAGAAAATCTAATGGCAGTACATCTCCTTATTTTCAAAGCTTCATAACTGAGCTTTTAAGATACACATCCACCTTTGATCCAAAACCCTGCTGAGTGAAGTAAGGTTTTATTTTTGTCAGTCCTTCCCTCTGATTTGTTGAACCAAAAGAGTTTTTTGTTACTGTCTGTGGCGGTCTCTCTGGTACAGTCTGTCCAGATTATTGTAGGTTTAGCGCTGCAGGAGAAAGCCAGCCTTTGGTTTTAATCATGACTACCTCATGCTGTGTTTTCACACCAGGGGATCTCCTGCTCTCATCACTGCCTCTGTGGCTGCATGTCTCTGCAAAGGCTCATTACTAACAAGTGAAGTGTGGCTGGAAAGAAAGAGATAAAGGAAAATGCATTTTACAGTGAAGTAACACAGTTATAAGAGATTGGATGAGTCATAATCAGTTTAATTGGTTCAGTTAAAAGGATCTGCTTCCATATTAAATTATCTATAGCAAACCTTGAGTGGGTCTCCTCTTTTTTGCTGTAGGAGGCATTTTGCTGGTAAGTTAGAAGTTCATAGGATCAGTACAGATCAATACAAAGTTGCTCTGATTGATTATCTTTATCCTATAACATGTCCTAACTGATGAGTGTTCTTCCAGCAAGACATTGCCACCATTCAAAGGGCATGAGGTAACACTCAATGATTTGATGTGTATGAGCCAAATGAACACCTAAATTAAATTTTAGAGTGTCATGGAAACAGGTCCATCTTTAAAACACCAAATAAAGGGACATCTTTGGAAGAATGGTGTTCCATTCCTCTATTGGAGCAGCTTAGCTCTTAGTCAGAGTAACTACTCTTGTGTAGTTATTGATGCTACACTAGATTCCAACACTCTATTGGCCCATTTTGATATATTCAACTTATCCATGTAAAGGACTAAACTGTAGTGATGGGATAAAAGCCCAACTTCATTTTCTTTCTTTCTATGTCACTCCTTACTCATCTAGCACTCCAAAGTCAGTGGCTTACCAAACACGGGGTCTCCTCCTCCATGGCTGGTAAGTATAAATATATAACACTACAGTACATTTCTGGCTTGACTGTAGGCTGACCTTTTAGGAAGTTAATAATCTGATGTCACTAATCAATACATATAGTGTCGCTGGCTAATCTAATAGGCAAGTCATTTCGTAAAATAAATTGACTGGTCAATCGATTACTATGGTTGATTTTTTCAGTATCCCATGAAATTGAAGAAAAATGTGAAATTGCAGATTTTCAGTCTGCTGACAGTTGGTCTGGTAGCACGGTTAATCACAACCAAAGCTCACTAAAATTTGCAGGTAAGAGACTGGGCATTTTCTTTTAAATGAGTATATCTGAATGCCACATTGTCCAGTATCTGTCCACCCTAACAAGATCATAAAGCCCATTTGCACCAGGTATTATTACTGTCACTGTCTGATTGAAAACAAACTTTTCCTGTGTGGCGTAATCTCTAGCAAGGCAAAAGATTCATGGCACTCATGTTATGTCTAGTTTAAACTATTTCTCTTTGTCCCTTTTATGTAGGTCGACATGAAGTATTTATCTCCTCTACTGCTGGCTTATGAAGACAGAATGAATGAGAAAGATGCCATTCTGCAAACCACTGAGGTAAAGTGGTGAAATTTGTGTGAGTTTTAATGAATCATCTTTCATATTTTCTTTTTGGAGAATTGGTGAGGTTATTTCAGAGGTGGGGGTTGTTAAGTACTATTTGATGTGCCAACTTGTATTTATGTGGTTCATGGGTTGAAAACCTGCAGTACACTCAGTAGATAGAATGCATTAGTCAAGGTGCTCCCAGGATCTTATTAGATGAGGTAAACATTTAGTCATGCAAACAACAGAAGTCAAAATAAAATCATATTTTGTTCTAGTGGTAATTATTGTCTTTTTAATAAATATTTGGGTCTTTTAAAGGTAGCTATATAATACATCCTTCCTTTGGAATTAATAAACAAGTAAAAAGTAAAAACATTCTGTTTAATATGCTGCAAAAGGTTGCGATTGAGCAGGTTTCTGTGTCCTGAGGCGATCCAGTTCCAGCATAAAAGGACTTGGAACAGTTTCACAGGGGGAGGTGAGACCAGACTTAGTGGGTATAACACTAACAGGACAGCTGGTGTGCTCAGGCAGTCTCAGTGAAGGATGGTATCTCCCCAGGGGGACCTTTAAGCCTTGGCTTAGAGGTGGTAGTAGAGCAGAAGATGCATTTATTTTGTGTTTTTCTTTATGGCCTTGAAATCATTAGTTTTTGTGTATTTGTCTGCTACAGGAAAACATGAAAAAGTTGCATTTTCAATTAGAGGAAGTCATTAAAGAAAATGAGAAACTCCATGATGAAATTACCAAGACCGGAGCGGTCAATCAGAAAGACTGGTAAGAAAAAATGCACGGCTTTGTGTATGTGGGTTATTTCAACACTGTATGAACTTGATTTGCCGTCATCATTCATTCATCTGATCTTGTAATGAAAATTAAATGTCTTTTTTCTTTATCCATTGCTAGATGATAGATGCAATTAAGAAAATGAAAGAAGCTAAACCTTTGTTTCCTTTGGTACACCCCTGCTGCTGGTATTCTGTCTTTCGTAATCATTCTAGCATAGAATGCTGCTGACACTGACTGAAACTAACTCTGAGAAGTTAGATAATTGCACTGCCTTTATGTAAACTATCAGGGATTTTAGAGTTGTTAACCTCTTCATGTATCTCAATCTAATATATAAGGGATTACTTAAGTACTAGGAATACATGTTGATGCTCAGTACATTTGTATACGTATAGACTTAGTCTTTATTTCAAGTGCTCTTGTGAAAAGTATAAATACTTCATGATACTAGATGTCCAATTCATTCAAAGGCCAACACTTGTAGGCAATCATATTAACTCATTTATTTGTATTCAGTAGACTCATCAAGTTGTTAATATGTTTCTTCTTAGAAAGACTAACTTGCAGGAGTAGAAAAGTATATGTTATCTTACAAGGATTACAGAATTTATGTAAGATTTGTTTCTTGGAAAGATAGCTTAATCTCTGTAAAGGCTAATGTAGCATGTAGCAAAGCTATTTATAGTATTTTTGTGTCTGTTTGTTAAATTAGCAAGTTTTGTGATGTGCTGATTTAGCATTGATAATATCTCACTCTCCTGCTTTCTTTCTTTCTGCAGTTATCAAATTCAACAACAGGCCGTTCTGGTTTTGCAGGAGAACCAGGATCTCATCAATCAACTCGAGGAGCAGCATGCTGAGGCCAAGGCCACTCACAGCAGACATAACACTGAAGGTATTTTCTGAAACACTGAAAGACCTAAAAAAAAATTAAAAAGATGAAATAAATTCTTCCACAAGCATTTACACTAAAATCTTTAAAATGATGCATGCATTTCAGAATTACGTCTGTTTTTTTTGTTTAAAAAAATGTTTTTAGGTCTTTTTTGATAGGGATAAATGAGGAAATACAGAATATAACACAGAATACGCAGAAAAAGTCTAAATGTCTACTTTTGGTGTTGGCCGTGTCCCTTTGAAGGTCGTAGATTCGAACGTTAACGCAGTAGATGTTTCTTTTTGGATTCAGGTATATAATGCAAACTTTCATTTTTGTTGGCTCTTTGACCTAGCTAACACAAAGATGCATTGTTAGACATAGGAAAAGCTTAAAAAAAGCAACAGCTTGTTTAAAAGAGCCTTTCACAACATTAACAATGTAACAAATCGTTGCCAGAATGAGCCCCGCCCTAAGAATATACATCTCGTCATGTGTCTCAGTCTAATATGGATGTGATTTATTGAGTAGTAGTCATACGTGTTGATGCTCAACGCATTTTTATAAATAGGATACCATTAAACTTCATTTTGAGTTGTTTTCACCTACTGGGTGATACCTAAGGTTTTTTCCATATTATTTTTGGTTTCATAATACATACTTTCCTTTCTGTTGGCCCCGTGATCTAGCCAACAAAGAAACACAAAGACCCATTGTTAAACATAGGGAAAGATCACTTTTTAAAAGTCTTTCACAACGTTAACAGATCTTCATTTTCCATTTCGGGTGAGCCCCACCTCAAGAATATGCAACTTAAAAACGTACACACTCGCAATTTCACGGCCTTTTTTGTAAACATGTTAAATTCAGAAAAGATTACTCAAAAAGACTCAAGTGACATACAAGGAGAATACATACAAGAAAACATGAAAATACATTTTGAGCACTAAAGGCATTTAGCCTAATGTACATTTACTGGGCTCGCTTCCCTATTTCGTTTTTTTATTTTCCTTTTTATTCATTTTCTTCTGTTTAATACTCTCTTTTTTTCTTATCTCTTTCTTGTTTCTTTAGTGGCAAAAGTGTCTAAGAAACTGATGTTATTAGAAGTGGAAAACCAGCGTTTGGAAGGGGACCTGGAAGAAAGCAGGAGGGAGGTGCAGAAAAATAAGAAGGAGCTTCAAGTTCTGCAGGCCCGCCTAAAGGATGCAGTCACCTGGGACGAACACTGCAGCATTGCTGGAAAACTGAGAAGGTACCCTTCTAATCTCACGTTATTAAACAAAACTGAATACTTAAGTATTAAAGCTGCTCTGTTATTTCAAAGAGAAAACAAGAAACTGTAGACTGAACAATTTATCTTCACAAGCATTGACCATTCTTGCTCTATGTTGGGTAAGGGTGTTGAGAAAGCTTTGTTTATTATTATTTCAGTTGATTTGTAGCACAGATAAGTAGACAAAACAAGAACTACAACAAGAGTAGCACCTGAAGCACTGCAGTTTTAAGTGCAACAGAAAAGTCAAATGGGATTTAATGAATAAATGTACGTGGTCAGGTATTGTCATAGCCCCTGGGATTTAAAATACAACTCATGTTTACACAAATGAATCAAAAATAAATTGCATAAGCATGAAATAACAGGACTATTACATTTAAAACAAATATCAGTAGGCTATATTTTGGAGTTTTAATTGCAGATTGTGACACGTGCTGTGACATAATTCTATGAACTCTTCTCTTCACTCTCAGACAACTGGAGCAGCATGAGAGCAGAAGTAAGGGTGAAATTGACAAACTGCTTCTGAGAGTATCTAACCTCCAGGAGGAGAACAGGATTCTAGCTCTGGACAAAGCCCAGCTAACTGCAAAAACAAGGGCAATGGAGGCTGAGCTGGAGCTCTCCAGGCAATCCAACAGGTAGTAAATATTTAGTGTTCTTTGTTTGCTGTTATCACATACATGAAACCTGGTATACAGCAGTGAGACACAGTTCTTGGAAGGTTTTCAGCATTGCTTGAGCCATTAAAACAAAAGAATGTTATGATTACTATAACAGCATGTGGAACCAATTCCATTTTCAATATATTAAAATACTTTTGTGCAAAGAATATGCAGCATCTGGATATGTTGAGAAACAAACTGCCATAAAAACTGGTACATGGATGTTTAACAAGAGTAAAATCAGTGTAAACTATTTATTGTTTATAATTGGGACAGCTTGCTTTTAAAAAAACAAACACTCATGATAACTTGAAATTGAAGCAGTCTGATAATGTGCTAGACTCCTGCACATCCACTGAGCTCTGTGTTAAGGTTTTTTTAAATAAAAAAATCCAACCTATATAAAGTAATATGGAAGAAGTCCACTTAGTAAGTGTTATGCACATGACTTTCATGTGGGAAAATGTGGTTCATATCCTATGTGAGGATCAGTGCCAACAAGCTCGTCTGATGGGAGACAGGAGAACTTTCTATTTTCATATAATCACTTTATTAATTTAATTATTATTAATTTATTTTTTTCTTTTCTAGATTTCTGTCCAACATTGTAGCTGGTGATTCATTCTTTTGTCCTGTTTGTCTAATGTTTTGACACCTAGTATAATTATAATTAATTAACTGTAGGGATTGCAAGGGATTGCAGCTGTACTTAAATATGTTCTGGTCTGGAGCCTTCGTTTCCCAGTAGATTTGTGCTGAGATTAATGTGAACTCTTTCAATATGAAGTGTGAAGTCTGTCAAAAGGTGTTTAATAACCAACATTTCCCCCCACCTTGTGCAGATGGCATGATCTCAAGTATCATCCAGCTAACCTATTGTCCTTCTTCTTATTTAACCCTTCTATCTGCTGCTTTCCCTTTTCTTAACCCCTGCTTATTTTTCTTTACCATGTTTTCACCAAACCTCCCTTTCGCACTCCATTCTCGTGCCCCCATACTTTCTCTTTCTCTCTTTTCTGTGTTTTTGGTCCTCTTTTAATACTCTTTAATCAATTCCCTTCCTCACTCGCCTATCTTTCCATCAATTAGGAAGGCTGAAAGAAGAATGAGTATGTTGAAGCAACAAAAGGAAGAGTGTGTGTTAAAGGAGGAAAAGACACGGCACTACCTGGGAGCTGTCATTTCTGTGGCAGAACACATTTCCCAGGAGAGAGACCAACTATTACACATGGTACTACTGATGCTACTGTAAAAAGATTTTGTACCACATGTGACACTGAATAGATGCACAAACATGAGGGTCTTGAAACTTTCCTTTGATAAAAAAAAAAGGTCTAAATATACTGAATATTAAGTATCAATTCATTCACTTACTAATTAAGCTGTTTGTAGTAATGCCAGCTTTGGTTGCTGTTTACAGACAATTGATCCGAAATGACAACAAAATTCAGTAGTTAAGGTGTAAAGGTATTTCATAAGGGTTGCAACAGGTCTGGAGGCAGGTAGGATTTTGGATTTTAAAAATAGTCACAGAAAAACTAATAGGCACCCAAAAACTGCTGGCAGATGCAAATCAGACTGGCTACCCCTCAAAATTTGTTGGTAATAATGTCATAAGGTTGCAGAAAACCTGGGACCAGTCCCTGGATAGATTACTGGTACATCTCAGGGCCAACATAGACAGGCAACCACTCACACTCACATTCACTGACATTATCTAATGCTTATTTGTATTTCCTGAACAAGTTTGCTCTTAAAATTAACTCCATTCTAGGAGAAAGAATCTTAAGCTCCTTCTCCTCAGCTCTGCTGAGAATCATTAAATTGATGGTTAGGACTTCCAGATAATCAGTCAACTGATCAATTAAAACTGAATTATTAATGATTCCAAAATCTTATTTGGTTTTCACATGCACCTGTTTTCAGAGATAGCAAATTTAATAATTTAATAGCAGAAAATTAACTAGCCATATAATACTATTCTTTCTCTCTTTTTTGCCATATTTTTCAAGTAGTATTTGATAACAGTGTAATAAAACTGGAAATTCTGTTTTTGGAGTGCCAGCCCAGTATTTTTAGTGGCTCCCATATAGCCACCCCTAAGAAATTTTTTTGGAGGAGGTGCCCCTGAGGATAGGTGACAAAAGTGTGCATTTGATTCAGTGTCATGTTAAAAAAACAGTTTGAGATTATTGGAACTTTGTGACATGATGCATTATTTTGCTAGAAGCAGCCATGAGAAGCTGGGTACAGTGTGGTGATGAGAGATGATGAACATGGTCAGCGACAATACTTGTGCAGGGTGCGGAATTTAAATTATGCCCAGTGATGTACTGAGGAACCCAAAGTGTGTCAAGAAAATATCCCCCATACCATTATAGCACCTCCACCACTGGCACCTTGTTTTTGATACAAGACAGGATGGATCCATGTTTCCATATTTTTTTACCCAAAATTGTGACCCCACAGACAGGCAGCAGTTTTCCAGTCTTCTATTGTTAAAATGATCCTCACAAATGATCCTCACATGTATGCATATCTCTGTGTATATCTCTGTTGTATACTTTCATTATTCAGACAAGGTACACGCACAGAGAAGATAACGTAAAGGTTTTTTCAGTCAAAGCAATTGTATAAATCAGACCAAAAAGTGTGTAAGGCGTACAGGAACCGAACTGTCTGATTTTCCACCTCTGGCATTATATAACTGGGTATATATTATCTGGGTTTTTTTTAAGCATTGTGATTATGTATGTTATGTAAGCAGTAGAAATGTTTTAAATGCTGAAAACATTTTATTTTTTTTTAAATTTATACATAGTTGCCTATAAAGCACTATGATTATTGCAGAGTTAAAGAAGACTCACGGTTACTTTTTGTGTTTTTGGAGTTCTAAAGAGTCATGACCAATAATCTGAGAATGACTGGCATGGGGGAGCCTTAGCTGACTTTGACTTTTTATGAAATCTTGATTCACACAGTTACTTAGTAGGTAATAATGAGTGAGTATTTTCTTATCCATCCTTATCCAACCTAGTACAAGTCTGCAGATTGGTTATACTGTCCTGAAGTTAGACAGCTTTTGTGCCTCACCCATTTGGCTGCACAGGATTTCTGTAAATTGGCAACAGTTTGACGTCTTTCATTCATTTCCTTTATCCAATTCTCCCATAATCCCTCACTTCCTTTATCCAATTGTGTGTTTAACCCTCCCTCTGTGTTCCTTTTTTAGCTCAGTAACCCGCCATCTTCCCTGTCTGCCTCCCTAGGCATCATCTCTTCAGCAGGAAAAGCAGAGATTCATCAGCAGGATTCTCAGTGGCACAGTTCGATTTGGAAAACTACAAGAAGAAGTCAAAGTAAGTTTGTTTATTAAAACATCACTTTCAGAATACAGTCACCTCCCCTGTAAACACTTTTTTTTTCACACAAGAATCATACATCAGTGGTTTTAAAAAGTCAAATCTGGCTCACTGGCTACAGTGGGTTTGGTTTGTCTTAATAATGTCTGCACATATGATTAAGGAGCCAGAACTCTCTTAATGTATTCCCAGAAGCTGCACTGCTACGTGGCAGGCAGGTTAATTTGATCTTAACCTCTGATGCTTGGCAAGCTTTTGAACAACACATTTGGTTCATCTGGTGCCTCAACTGATCAGGCTGAAACATAACGTTCCAGTTTCAGTCCTCATGTCTGGTGTCTATTGATCAGCCCACTCTACTGGAATTGATAAACCATCTGCTTGTCAGCCTCCACTACTCGCAACGAATAAATTGATGAACACTTGTGTCTTGCAGATTGCTTTCTCTTATGCTGACTTGAGTGGGTCAAGTCAAGTATCTTAGATAATCTTCTCATTTTTAAGAGCTCATGCAATTAGGACCATACATTGTAAGCATGTTTCATGTAAAGAAAGCACCAGTATAATGATAATGATCAGAGGTTATAAAGGGGTGCCGTTTGTGCTCTATGACTGTGGTCATAGAGAACATACTGCTGTTATGTGCTATTTTACATGCATTTTCTCACTTTGCCTGTCAGCACTTTTCCTTTATGTTTGTCCCTTTCTAAAAATCCTGATTCAATCCCCACCAGGCCATGGGTTCTTTAGTTCAGTTTTAGATTACTTTCATTTAATTTTGTTTTCAGTTGACTTATAATTATACATGAATTCAAATTAATTAGAGTTTAAATTAAACTATTATGCCATGAAATCTCATCCCTCATGTACAGTATTGCACTTGCATGTAGTTGTCAGTACCAGACACATGCATGAGCATAGGTAATTGTAGATTAGAACACAGAGCCTCTTTCTTCCTTGTTCATTCTTTGGCAAGACCACATTGATCCCACCATTCCCACAGAAATAAAATGAAGCCTATTATAGTAAATCACCATGGTAGCCTTTTCTGCTGATATGAATCTTTCCACTGTGGTTGACAGTTGTTGTACACCATCAGCTACTGTACAGTTGTGCATTCTTCTTTTGTAATTGTTTATTATGATGAAAAAAACATGACACTAGCTATAGTGCCTTGCTCAGCGGCCAGTGGTATGTGTGTTCTGTCAGTAGCTCTTGTCACTCAAACCAGAGCAAGGAAAAACATCTCAGTGGGTTTAACAATTTTATTAGGGTCTCTATAGCAACAGCTCATAGGGAGAGAGAGAGAGAGAGAGAGAGAAGTGTATGTGTGTGTACGTGTGTGAATGCAAATCTCATAGTTGGTGATCAGACCATGAAAAAAGGAGAGCCGTAAATGTTGTGGTAAAAAACATTTTCCCCTCTTTTCCTAATAGTAACACAAAAAAAAAATCTGACATAAAGGTGGACTTTAAGGTTTGTAGTGGTTTCACAAAAGCATTATGGCTTAGGAATTGTCTTCAACACAATTTTAAAATGAAATAAGAACCAAATTGAAGTCCTGATAGAGTATCAGCACTTATTGTTTGACCACTGCCTGCTGCAAGAATAGCCCGAACACACATTGGCATTGATTCTGAAAGTCTCTGAAACTCTGCTGGATGGATGGAACATTATTCCTCCAAAATGTTTTGATCCCTTTTAGTGTAGGGTTAAAGAGTCTTGGTTTTTACCTTGTATTTGTCACACATCACGTTGTTGTAAGCCAACCATAACGTAATATGGTCGGCATTTGCGTCATCACATTGTATTATATAAAGAAACCATACACATAATTTAATTAAGATGAGTTCATAGATTAATTAAACGAGTCACTGAGTGTTTACATTCTCTTATTTGCTCTGTGAGTCACAGCTATGTTGCCTTTCTGTAACCTGCTCCCTTCTGTACCAAACACCTGGATTGTACAGGAAAAAATATACAAACCCATTTCAGACTGGTGTATCCCAGTTCACATTTTTGAGGACATTCACACCAGCTAGAGCAGATAAATATCCCTGTGTTGTCTTTTTTATTTCTCACCTAATCAGTGTTTAAAGTATTTAGAGTTTACTTAAGCAAATATGATGCAATGGTAGGTTAATATCAGTGGTTGCTGTTTTTACTCATTTCTATTTATAACAGGACTGCATACATGTTATTGTTCTTGTCTGTACTGCACTACTTACATCATTCTTTTTCAAAAGCCTCAATTGTGGAGAAATTAAATAATGGAAATAATTAGTGTGGCTTAGCCTGTTACAGTAAATAATGCATTATCACAAATAGCCAGTAACCCAGTTTCACAATATAAAATACCACGAAAGGAGGGTGGAAGGGAAATACATACTCTAAAAGTATGTTAAGAAAAATATTATGCTTCTGTTATATTTTAACTGAAATATTTGGATAAAAACAGCAACTATGATAATTCGTTTGTGTACTTTACTGTTTCACAGAAAAAAGTGCATTCATTGCTCCACTTTCAGTTGTACAGCAGTTAGTTATTAGTTAGTTAAGTTAGTTAAGTTATGCCAGTAATGATTGTGAGATGTTTCATTTTTTGCATTTTCTTTGTTTGTAGTGCACAGAAGTGTAGTGGCTATCCAGTCTTTTTTTCTCAGGCTTTTCTTCAGTTGAAAATGGATTTAGTGGCTCTATAGGGCTTAGACATAAAGACCTGGAAAACTGACTAGGACAAAAAAAGACACCTCTTTGATAAGGAGGAATAACAGTCACTGGGAATGATAGCAGAGGAAATTGATCTATTTAGCACAGCATTGTGGACAATTTTATAGAAAACAAAACAAAACAAGTGAACACAGGGCAGGTCCCTCTACGGAGAAAAACTGCAGCTGATAACAGAAAAATCTGGAGAGCTGTAAAAAAAAACAAACAACAACCCTTAACCATCACTGATATCACCAACAGTTTGAGAGTGGATAGCAAAGTTCAAAGAAAACTTACTGTAGGGAATAACAGAGATTCATACCTCTTATGGCATACCACTAGATTGGAATTATGCATGTTTGGAGCAAATGTTTAATGAACTAATGAAACCAAAATTTCTCAAAGTGAAAGTGAAAGAAAGACTGAAGAATACATGTGATTCAAACCTCATCAAATATGAAGGAGCTAATAAAATGTTATGGGCATGTTCTGTGTGGCAGTAAAACAGGGATGGGCAATTGATTTTAACAAGCTGAACTCAGTTCTGCTTAGTATTAATTTGATCTCTTTATAAGCTTGTTGGTGAAGTCCTCCACGACAGTCCCAGTTTCTCCTGTGGACCCTTGGGGAAATTAATTGTCCATCCCTGCTATAATAGAATCATTTCAAAAGTATACACAAACATTTAGTTTGTCTATGCATGAAGCAATTCCCCTGTCTCATTTAACAGGCCTTCCAAAAATACAGTGGCATTAAGCACATTGCCTGTGCAGCCAACGCTTTATCAGTGACAGCCAAGCCAGTCACCAGATTTAAAGCCTGTTGAGCCTTTTTTTTTCTAGATGAAAAGAAGATTGAAGGAAGAAATCCCCAGTAACAAAGATCAGCTGAAACCTGCTGATTTGAAGCCCAATGATGATAGTAAAGCTTTTGTCATGTCAGTGGTCTGCAGACTTCGTATTCTTCAAAGAGCTATGAACATTTATGACTGTTATTTCTGAAAGAAAAAAAGCATCCACATATGAAAAGCATGAAAAAAGACTTAAATGCTAGTTTATACCCCACTCATATTTCGGCTTCAATTTCAATTTAAATAGCAAAATGTTTTTATTTTTGTTAATTAAAAAACAAAAATGAGTAAATGGAATAGTAAATGATAGTCTGATAAATTCCTGATAGTTGTGATGAAGAAATTTCAAAGCCATCAAAAGGGTTAAAAACCCACTAATGTTAAAATGACCAGATAAACCAATCTTTGAAGTTGTCTAGGCCACATGATAACAGGATTTGGTGCACATAAACATAAACAAGTCACAAGTTTTTAGAATTGGAAAACATCGAGGGCAAATCAAGGCAAACATTTGTAACAGCAGAAAAGTATACAATAACAGCAATAGGGAAGTAAGCTTTTTCACTCTTTGTGAGAATGAATGAATGAATGAATTTTATCCTCAGGAAAGATTAGACTTGAGTGTTGAATTACCAGGCAGGAACCTTTAGTACCCGACCTCAACCCAGGCAACTCAATGAAAAGCATCAAAATGGAATTGTGAAGGTTATTCTTGTCCCCTTATCTTCACACCTGCTAAAGTCCTTTTTGTTCTTTCTCTCATTGCAGCTTATGTGGACTTGCTCTAAAAGCTCAGTTACTTAAATAGATGATAACTGATTGAGATCAGAGGTTTTCTATCACAGGTTCCGTTTTAATACAAACGTGAAATACTAGCAGGTACTAACAGTTGCTTTCTTTTTAATGAACAGCTCTTGCTCTTGGTGATTACTGTCAGCCTGCGGTGATTGTAATATGTGTTGCCACCTAATGAGTTGAAAAAATAGGGATTGTGCATTAAGTGTGTGCTATAAAGAGAAACAGATTGTGACTACATTATTCATATGTAATTAAAATTCATGCTCCTCCATCTCCTGGATACACCTGAAAATGTTAAATATTTTAGTGAGTGCATGTATAAATATAGCCAGGTCACAGGTTTGACCCATTCTGCTGCTTGACGTCAGTGTGGGATGACTTTTTTCCGCTTTAATTTTCTCCTCCACTCTATAATGTTCTCCTCCACTTTCCCCCCCATCATCGCATTTATATGAACATTTACAGAAGTTATTACTCTAAATAATAGGATCACATAGGATATTTATTTGTTCTACCCTCCTGGTGTGCTGACCTTTGACCCTCCTTCTTTGTGCCTACTGTTCAAGAATGGCCTGAGTGAGTCAATTTGGCTAATTGTGTTTGACAGCTGAAAACCATAAACCACAGACTATGCTAATTAGTACCATTTTCAAAGCAAGAGAAACGGTTGCTAAGGAAAATAATGACAGTGAGCTCATTGAATTACCCACACAGAGGTTTGTCATACTCAAGGCTGTCCTATATGTGGACCAATTTCATATTTGTCTTTTCAGATGTAAGGAGGGAGACTGGGGTTTTTTTTTAATGGAAGCTGTCACTCAACTCAGGAAGATGAAAGGCAGGGTCCTTTAGATGTTGTATTGTACAACAAGCAGGACAAACACTTGACTGACACGAAGTCTTTGTAACAGATCTTACCAAATAGAGCAAAAATAATAACTCTGTTCCTCTTTTCTGACCTGCTGCTGATATCTGTCATAACTAATATCTCTTCTAAGAATCGCTTCTTCTTCTTATGTCTGTTCAGATCATTTTTCCTCATCAAGTCTAAGCTCATTGTGGCATATTTACTGTGTATCTTTGGTGAAAATAATATTGCACAATAGTATGCCACTAAAAAATGAAAGATCTTTGTCAAAGTAGTAATTCTCAGTTGCCATTATTCAAAAGAGAATTAAATTGTTATCCTTTTTTCTTATCCTCACACCTGGCAGTAATATTGAGTCTCATCAAGCTTTGGAAGGTTTGGAGATAATCATGTCAAAAATTGAGTTTAGAGTCTCTAGAAATCTTCTAAAGATTAAAAATCCCACTTCTACGAACACAGCGGTGTTTTGTGATATCACATATAATCTCTTGCCTTTATGATTTTATTGGTTTGACGGCATCTTGTATCTCTAAGCTTAAAAACACTACCTATGAAAAATTTCACAAAAATCAGACAGGAGGTAGCAGAAGGGAAAGTATGCACACGAGCAACCTATAGAAGAAAATAGTTCAATTTATTTAATTGCCTAGTAGCGTCTGTACTCGGTAGCATAGTGCTAAGCTGCAGACACTGTATCATAAGCAGAAATACAGGAAATCATAAAAGATAAAATGTACAGCAACAGATAGAGCAGTTGACAAAGGAAATCCAAGAAATAAAAATATAGAGCACAAATGACAGAAAATCATCAGGACATACAGAACAGAGAAAAAGTTTATCATTCAAATGAATTGTAAATGCTACATCTGCATTTGATGAAATGTACCATTACCCGACTTCAGTCACTGGATATATGAAAAATAGTAGTTCTAGGCCCCTCAGTTATCAACATTTTAACAGAAAAGACTCTAAATGTTCTCCGAAGACTAAAATAAAGCCTACTTTTAAATTCAACAAAGGTCATACTATACTCTCCTGCTCATGAACTTTGTTTGATTTAGTTTGATTTACAGAATGAAATGCCCCTATAAAGCAGTTAAATGGTAAAACTATTTTAACTGGTTCTGGAAATGTCAGGCACTGCTGGATACAATTAAACGTGTCGCAGAAGAGAAATTTCTGCTACAACAAAACAAAGCTTTAAGGGCAATTTCTTTCTGCAACACAAAGGAAAAGACTTGATCAAAAATAGCATTTAAAATTCTGGACTTTCTTTCTTTCTTTCTTTCTTTCATTTTTATAAAACCGAATTAAAACACAATTTGTTGAGTCAGTATTTCCTGGTGGTACATGTAAGAAGAGCCTTTTTTTAAACATGCAGCAGACAATTAAGACAGCTGTTGCAACACATGTGCAAATTTGGCTTCTACCACGACACTCATTAGTATCTTTGAGCAAAACAAGCACGTTACCTGTACCAAAAAATCAAGAATAGCAGAGTTGCTAAAGCCAAAGGACAAACTGAATGGAGGATGTGTTGTTTGACAGGAAGTATCAAAAACCCTGAGGTATGAGCCTAGTTTATGCCTCACATGCACTGTTTCCTTGCACAGTAGCCCGAATGACGTGAGAGCTAGAGGTGCAGAAATGCATATTCACTAACAGCAAGAACCTCGTCACACCTCTGCCTGTGTGCTACTTGTGTAACAATTAAATTATGGCCATGTCACAGGTTTTTATTGGTGTTTTGTATTTTGTCATGGCAAAAAAACATGCTTTGCATGCAGACAGTTTTTTTCGAAAGTGAGGAAGGCTGAAAAATCGAGCCAGATGGATAACATACAAAATGTCAAGTCACTGTGTTTGCAGTTCTCACATTATGACCTGTCCTTCACACTCACTTTGAGGAACGGTGTTTCAAGTAGGATATTAAACTGTTGTAACAAAAATGCACGATCAGCAGGCTCATCAGCAGCCTAGTTCATAATAAACCATAGATAACCACCGACCTAAATCACACCCAATTATTTTTCTTTTTGTTGTTGGCAGCTGTCAATTGCAGTAATTAAAACGAGTTTGAAAAACGAGTAAGTAAACAGACCTTTCTTGTAAACCATTATAATGCTTTGAAAACTGTATTCACATTCATGTCAGTTCACACAATCCCAAATTTAATTTAAAAAGGTTTGCATCCCGGATTTTTGTACATAAACAATGTTGATAATTGAGGGCACAGGACTCCTGTCAGTGTTGTTTTTATGCAAGTCGAGGATTAAAGGTTTGTTGTCAAATGCTATGTTAGACTAGGTCAACACACAACACATAACAAATAAAGGTCACAAAAATGCATCACAGAAAAGTCGGTATAGGCTGCTGACAGACCATGCCATTGGCTCTGTTTCTCTTGACCAAGCTGGTATCTCCGTTGAAGCAGTACGTCTAACAAAAGCACAGCACATCACTGAAAACTGACTTATTTTGTCTCACTGGCCTTTTATTTGCATGAAGGTGACTGACTGCTCAGCTTGTTATGCCTGTGCAGGAGAGGATATCATCTTTACCTGGAGGCCTGTACTCCCACAGGCTGACTCTTTCCTATCCTAGGACAACCAGTTTTCAGGATCCCATCATCCTCTGGAAGAGCAGTCACACATGCCTTGACAAAGGCACTGGCAGAATCCATAGACCAGGCAAACTGTCAGGCTTGATGGTACTAAGCTAACGCATACAATACCCAGAGTCACTCTCTGAATCACCAGCAAGTAGATTCCAAGAGGAAGTGAGCCAAAGTATAAGAAACCCAGAAGCCAGACCAGGATGCGTGGGACATGATTACAGAACTTGGACAAGGCATCCTGATCTGCTGGCCCATTAGAGCCTATAGATACTGAGTCCAGGCTTTGCTCAGCATAAACATCTGAGCTGCCATTTTGGCTTGGAGAGTGTTGTGAGTCCCTCTGCACCTCCATTATAGTGATTACCAGGCAGTTGGATGAGTCACGAGATGGACTGGAGGAGGAGAAACTCTTTGGAGTCAAGACCACCTCCCTGTTTTGGTCGGAATTCCAGGATTTGTCTCGCATCACCAAGTGGGACATGATGTTAACATCATCAGGCAGGGCTGAAATCTCCTGCTCAGTGATCTCAGTTTGGTGTCGGCAAAAGGGGCAGGAGATGCAGCCTGCACTGTCAGCAATATCCAGGATTTTAACGAGACAACGGGCACAGACCCGGTGAAGGCAGTCCAGGATTTTAGGCTTCCGGTGGTGGACATTGTAACGCTGATAACAGATTTTACACTCTAACTCCTCCGGAGGAGGACTTTCCTTCTCCTCAAACTCAGTCTGAGGACAGCTCATCTTCAAGTCATGTTCTAGGGAAACATATAGAGACAGGGTGAAATAAAAACAGAACATCACATGTGACTTTAACTAGTATGCAAAGGAAGTAATAAAAGAAGAAGGAAGAAGGAAGGAACAAAAAACCAGAGCATGTTTGTCACTACAGTGTCTTGCATCTCTCTGCCCAGCAGGAAAAGGTCAAAGCTCCTCTCTGACTGCTTTGACTTTGTGTACCTTCTGGTGATGAAAGATTTATGATTTGGGAGTTGAATCAGGGTATTATACTAGTGCCCTTTTGTGGCAAAGTAAGAGCCAGTAGTGCTATTGATAATCAGGGAGAGATGGTACAGGGAGCTGCTCCCTGAACATTTTTCATTGATTCATTAGTGTTGATGCAGTTCTTAAAATAAATGACCAGCCCTTGAACCAAAGGTTTGATTGTTACTTAAATTATTTTTTAATGTATTTATTCATTATCCATTGGATTATATAAAGTCCTTCTTGGCATTTAATTTATTCAGTTAGGGCATTGGATAGTAGAGCATTGTCATTCATTGAAAGACTCTCATTGTTCTCCCTGAACAAACTGATTTCTTTTATTGGGCATTAAATGTGTTTGCTGAGTTAGTCATCAGGGCATTCGTTTTCGTAACCGTTTATTGAGCGCAGGGTCATGGTGGGGATAATGCCTATCACAGCTGTCATAGGGAGGGGTATAGGGTACACCCAGGTCATCAGTTCATCACAGTGCTTCCAGAGAGAGACAGACAATCACACAATCACCCTCACATCCAGTTTAGAATCACCAAAGACACCTAACATACATGTCTTTAGACTGTGGGAGAAAACTAGATCACGCAGAGGAAACCCACAAAGGCACATGGAAAACAGGCAGAAAGGCCCAGCCAACCATGAACATTCAAAAACCAGCAAGTTAATCATTACTTGAATTTATTAGTTTACTGAACATGATGGCCATTATTGGCTAGGATATGCTGAAATTTTTGACCAGTCTACCTATATGTCAGGATGTTTGCAGTTACCTAAAGGTGCTTCATTACTGTCATACTAGACAGAAGTTTTACAGTCTTACAATTTCCATCCCCACAAAAATTTAACAGCAACACCTAGCTATATTAGTCATAATTGTCATGTACCTACAAAAATTCCCTCTGAAGACATATGAGGAAGGCTTCAGACCCCACACTACATGGACTTTGCTCCAGACCTTCATTTAGGAGGACCCCTCTTTGTAGCTGCATACTCCATTGTTGCTGTTCCTGATCATGTTTCAAGATATTCCTGATTCATGGTTCATATTTGTAAACAATTTTAATTTTAAATTTAAATCTGTGTGTGTCCAACAAAATTGATAGCTCGTTTTTAACCATCCATCAATCCATACGGCCCTCCTTTCCGAAGAAAAAAAGGGTTGTAACATTGTGTAAAATGTAGGTAAAAAAATAATGCCCTGATTTGCAAATCAGTCAGACCCTGTATTTAATTCTTTATAATATTAAGATGACCAATACTGAAGCTTAGATTTAAAAAAAAATATATATATATATATATACTCATAATTTGGGGAGCTTTTAATGGTTTCCAGAACAGAGACTTTTGTTCTTGTTTACATTATACACACCATTCAAACCTTTTTTGGAAATGGGTTGTAAGCCCTGAAAACAATGCAAACATGACATGATAAGGAACTTACTGACAATTGCTCTGGTTGTTAATTCAGCATATACTGATGCAACTGGAAATGATACCGAAGGACTGTTGTAATCTAATTCCACAGACATTGAGCTGTGATACAAAAACTACTGAACATCAGCTCCAGTTGTTACTGTCACATTTGTTTTTGCATATTACAAAACACATTCGAGTCGTGATGAGGTTTCTGGTAACTCGTCTACAGCCTGAAACACTTCTTCTTTTTAGCAAAACTACCACACTGTGGATTTCTTTGAATGTACCTGAGGGCTGAGAAATATGTGCGATCATACAAAAGAGACTAAATACTTAGCAGGAGGTCTGTCATTTCTGAAGCAAATAAATATCAAAATCATTTTATCCATACTGTGTATATGTTCTGTTTATTAAAACTGGATAAGGTAGAAAATTCTCAATATCAGACATGGGATTTTTTTATAGGTTTCCCTTGCTTCTGCAGATTTAGAACAGCATTATTCTTTTATGCTCTGTTCTCTTGAAATTTAGCCTTGAGAAAAAAATGAAATATGAAACTCAGTTTTCTTCAGGTGAAGAAATAATCAGTAGCTCTTTTAACCGTCTAATTTTCAATTTTTTCAATTTTCCTGTCGTATTTGGATATGCCTGCATGGCACTGCTTGTGTGTGTGTGCGTGTGTGCACAGAAGTCCACAGTTTAGGTTTGTTTTGCTGTCAGTTGTGCCAAGAGCAACTGACAGCAAAGGAGCAAATGAGCAGCTACTGTCTCTGCAGCCAAATCAACAGACCTAATACTTAATACTGTGCATAAACTCATGCACCCATTGTGTTATGTCAAATAATATGTAAAGATGTTGTTCTTAGTTAGCTATAGGCTATGACACATAGTGCTCAGCTAGTAGATTTAACGTTTTGGGAATATTTCTCTTGCCTCTAGCATACAAAAGTAAAGTGGTTCCGATGAGGCTACTTGTGTGGAAAACACATCCATTCTCTTACAAAATCAACGTTTTTTAGTCTTGAATTCTTGGCACTAGGATTTGCGCTACGGCCACGCAACTTAAATGGCATGTTGAGGCCAGACACAGTTGCTGTATAAGGTGTAGTAACACATTGACATTTTTCGTCCTTTTTAGAAAAGTGCTTGAGATTGTCCTCTGGGACATTACTTCTGATAGGTATTTGTCCTTGAGGGCCCCTCCATTACAGGTAGTGCCCTCACCTGAAAATACCACAGATCACGCTGTACTTCCTGCGTATTGTATTTTTTGCGCAGCATCTTCTTGGAGCCTATATTATGGCTACATTTCCCTAAAGATAGTTGGTTCATATGATGAATTTTAATACACTTTTTCTGTGTAGTGACATGTGTAAACTGAAAGACAAGGTAAAGCTGGTTACTTAACATGCTGCCTCTTACATGTACTGTAAGAATAACTGTGGAAAATACTCTAACCTCAATATCCTGCAAAAGTGCGTGTGTGAAAATTGATTAGATACCAACTAGTCAATGGGATATAATCAGTTTAATCAGTACTGTTTCACCATCATTCAGAATGAAAGATGTGTAGCTCTCTCTAAATGTGGCAGTTAGCATAGGAAACAGCAGTGTCTGGAGATGGTAGTCCAGTCTTTGTTCAGCTCTAAGTTTATTTAGTTCAATTCAAATTAAATCAGTGAGGTTTAGAAAGGTTACGAAAGGTTTAGTAAAACCTCAGAAATTGCTTTTGAGAGCCATGGCACAGTTCATTCCTCTTGATACGGCTTACTTTACTTCTGTATATGGACATTAGCAAGTCCCCCTCCCATCATGAAAGTGTTATATAAAGAATGGCCAGTCTTTCACTCATTCATGACCATGAAATATAGATTGAATAGGTGGATTTTGCACTGGCAATTGCCCAATAGTACTCTCTGTGACTTACTGACTGTTAAATATTTAAGCCTGTCTGTTGAGTTAAAAAGCCTTCTGAAAGATGTCAGAAAGACGGAGATGTTCTTGCTAGATCAATCATGTAAGCAGAACTGCCTGATTTTCCACAAAAGTCCCCCCCCAAAAAAAAGGTTGTAAAGAGGGGGATCGATGCTCATAACTCATGAAAGAGCCCAGTTTGCAAAAGGAATTTGAGAGTTGGGGTTATAATTTTTTTAAGTATCCCAGAGAGCTTACATTGTAAACAAACTTTCATTTGTTTTCCCCACAAAGCCTGTATTACTAAGACCTAACAGACCATTAACAGTCATTAACCTTTTGCAATGCTTGAAACATTAATGATATTATTCACATCAGTGTTTTCTTCTTTTGCAATCATTGTACTACCTTAGTACTTTTTTATCACTACTCCCTGTCATTATGCATTAACTGGCCGTTTACTGCCAGAAATTTGTATCCACTTTGGAGATATACTTTATGCCACACTTTCAAATCTACCATATGAACTTACAGCCACCATAATATGTATATTAAACATTTCTGGGGGGAAAAATTGCTTTTGTTGGTTGAGCTGTGGTTTAATTGAAAGAATTTGCTGAGTGTGTTGTTGTCAGGTTCCTGGTCTGTAAGGAGAATATCCCTACTTTACGTGCTAAGCTATTAATCACCACAGCCTTCATCACCATCTTGCACTTTGCAATATTGCGTATCTCATCACTTTGCAGTCCAACCAGATGAATTGTCCAGAGCCATCCAGCGGTGCTGTCATCTGGAGCAACACACATTTGCATTGATCTATTCTGGTCCAAGACCTGCCAGGTTTTTTTTCTTTCTGTACGTGCTGTCAGATTCTCTTTTTTTCAAGTGTATTGTTTTCAACTAATAGAAGACAGGGTATGCATGTGTTATTGCATTCAATTAAAGATAAATTATGAGCTTAGCTGGTGATATTAGACTTGTCTCAGTTTTTACAGAAACAGGACATAGATTTTTTTGTAGTCCATGCAGAAAGCATGTCTTCTGATACATGCTGCAAATACAGAAACACTGCCGGCTAAAGTCAGCTTCACGTGTTGAAAATGCTACTGTGATCTCTCTCCTAATGAGAAACTGCTTCATAATGTGGATGCTGTTGCAAAATTATCAAGCAGGTGACGTTATTAGTTGTTAATAGTCACTGTGAACAGAGTGATGGTAAAAAAATAATAATAATAAAAGGTACCCTTTGGATAAGATTAGTTACTTGAGGTTAGATAGCAGGACAAATTAGTGCCCATATTGAAGAGATTCCAAAAATAAAGAAAGAGTTTCTTTTTAGCCATAGTGTCACTCTAAAATAAATCAACCACTCTTGCCTACTGTAGTAGTTAAATTTCATGACTAAATATAGAAAAATCACACCTTAGTC